AATATTTATTCAACAAACCACTTATTTACTATACAATTACCAACACACAAACACTTAAAGCATTTGTTACGATTTTCCCGGTAAATGAACGAGTTATGAGTACCTAACAGTTTCTAAGGTAATATAAGTAATTGTATATAACAATTAGGTAACATAAAGCGCAGTATGTGATGCCCCCGATGACCTCATATGTGTATATAAGAGGGTCCTTTTTACTGCAGCTTACATAGTTCTGCAATTACTCTCATCATGAACACTGTAAGTACGTTTAAAATATTAAATTTCATTGATACTGCATTTTCAACCTAATGCATAAAGTCCCAGGTACCTACTTAGTTTCTTATTAGCCAAAGTCGTGGGTGCGAACGCAATAAACCCGTGGATCCGGCCCGGAACAGGAGATGGAATAGGGTTTTCAACCATCAAAACAAGGTTGATTTAGATGGAAAGTGATTACTGAAACTTTCGATTTCGGGTTAATACGGGATAGAACTGCCAATATGTTTAGGTTATAAAAACTGAAACCCATTTTGTTAGGCCTTATTAATCAAGCGATTATAATTCAGCATATCATACATCTTTGTTCTGTATTCTGAGACATCTAAGCGATGTTTTTTCCCTCAGAATTATAGAGAATTATTGAAGAAAGTGTACACATAAGAATTATGTATTATAACATACGCAAAAAGGGTTAAATGTAAAAAACTTGCAAAATACCATATAAATGATCTTCCAATTATTAAATCCAATTAAGGCAATACAGACTTATGCTTTTCTATATCCTTAGCTGAATAGGAAATGTGTTATATCCAATGTCTTCTCAATGTGTTTCGTTCTTGATGGACAATAACAATTTACTCCAGTTTGTTTTTAACACTGCACCTTTAACACCTAAATAAGTTTTGTCTATAAAAATATAAATAACTAGCTACTCTCGCGCGGTTTCACCCGCTGCTTAGCTCCATTTGATCGAAGCGTGATGTTTTATAGCCTATAGCACTCAGGAAGATTGTAGCTATCTATCAGTGAAAGAATTTTGGCAATCCGACCAGCAGTTCCAAAGAATACCCCCTACATACGAACTTACAAATTTTACCTCTTTATAATATTAGTATAGATACAACTATTAACAAAGACACGCAATTTCTCAGCCAGCGTCATACATTTGAAACAATAAGCAACTATCACAGATATTAAAATCAACAATTCGGTGGAATTATGTACCTATTTTCTATTTTTTTTTTCTATTTTTTTTTAAAAAAACGTTGCCCCACACTAGGATTTTCTCCTGTGTCGTGGGTGCGTTTACAAACAGACAATTTCGTATGCACATCGCAAGTAGTAGTAGCACCGCAAGTAAAAATTTAATTTATCAGCCAAATCTTGCATTTATTTTGTAATATTTCTTAATTCTAATACTCTGCTTTAAAATATCAAATTATCAACTCTTGATTGTAATTCAAAGTACCAATTTTGATGGAAAATTAAATTGTAATCGAAATGTTTTATAACTTTATCATTTTAAACGTACCAACTAATTAATATTAAAATACATTTAGATAAAGCCTATTGTTATTTCTTCCCTATAAGCTGATTTCACCACTAAATTTAATGTGTAATAAAATTTAGATTTTTATTGTAAATTACATTTTTACTACACTTTACATACTTATTTACTTGTTTGCTTCATAAGCTTTTAAATCTTATCATCAAACTTTTACCTTATCTGCTTATTACCTTATCATCAATCACTACTAAGCACTGGTCTCCCCCAGTCTTATCGTTGTCCATATGTTACCCACATTACTTACTATTGGGATATCACAAAGTAAACTATTTTTATCTCGCATCGTATCCCGTCTGATGCGCGCTTGCTCGGATATAAGTACGTACGTCCATATCCGAGCCAGCGTGATGAAGCGTACTCAAAAAGGATTTTCAATTACAAGTTTATAAACATATCATACAGTGTGGGAGAGCCATGCTTCGGCACGAATGGGTCGGCTCGACCGGAGTGATACCACGGCCTCACAGAAAACCGGCGTGAAACAACCACAGGGTTGTGTTTCGCCGTGTGCCATCTCCAAATCCCTAATCCCTAAAAGGTCGGCAACGCACTCGTAACTCCTCCGTTGCGGGTATCCATGGGCGGCGCTGATTGCTTACTATCAGGTGCTGCTCGTTTGCCGACCTATTACTTAAAAAAAATATCATTAAGAATACATAGGTGAATTTAAACACATTTATTACCACCGATTTCCATTGCAGTTTACTTTCTTCGGTTTGCTGGTGTGCGCCATCTTGGCAATGGTGGGCGCCGCTCCTGAGCCAAGCATTCCAGAATCAATACTGGTAGCAGCTGCTGACTCAATCCCTGTAGATGATGTGCTGGAAGGCGCAGAATCCAGAGGTTACGGTTACAATAGGGGGGGATACGGACATCATCATCATCATCATCACCATCAACATCACGGCTATTACGGACATGGACGTTAAGATCTAACACAAATAATCATCATACATATCCAAATATATTAATTATTGTGCTGTTTCTCTTCTAAGTATTATTTGTGACTTTTTGGTTTTTAATATTGAATTAAACTGATTATTTTTGCAAAACATGTTTTATTATTCATATAGTTACCTAATGATAATATTGTTTTGATGTAAATACTTTAAAACTTCAAAGAATGACAGCGTTGTGTTTCGCCGTGTGAGTGAGGTTACCGAAGGCCCATCCTTTCCCCTCCCTTAATAAACCCTAATCCCCTGAAGTTCGGCAACGCACTCGTAACTCCTTCCAATATATAAAAAAAGAAAATAGAACGTTTACTTTTCTACTTCATGTTCTATTCGCCAAATATCCTAATGCTAAAAATTTATATTTTTAAAGAAGCAATACTATACCTACATTTAAAGCGCAGGTACCTTTCATTAGTTTTTGCTTGACGTTTCGGCAGGGTTACACCGTGGTAGGTATGTAAAGGTACGTGCGCGTTAAATCCACGTATTACGATACAGTAAAGTATTAATATGCGACGCTACAGTTTAAAATATAATACTATACATTTGTTTCTTTACCGTGCACACGAATCACCTGATGAAAAGCAAAATTAAGGCGCCACCCGTGACATGTACGCAACGCCAAAGCACAAGTGCGTTGTAGGAAATTTCGTAGGTTATTTGGAATTAGAGGATTGGGGATAAGAGGCGGTCAGGTTCAAGGATTGGGCCTCGGTTTATCTCACTTACCCCCGGTTAACATTTAATCAAAACAAAACGGAAGCGTTGTTTCACGGGTATGTGGAAGGTATGCGAGGGCGTGGTATCACTACAGTCGAGCTGGCTCATTCGGTCGAAGTTCCTCGGCAAATATGTCCCAATTTGTGTAAAGTGGGCAGTTAATAGAAAAGAATGGATTTATTATTTTGATTTTAATTTATTAATATTTTTTTTATAAAAACGTTGCCCCACACTAGGATTCTCTCCTGTGTCTTGGGTGCGTTTACAAACATACAAATCCACATACACAACACACCCAGACCTGAAACAACAATTTGTAGATCACACAAAGTGTTGTTCCGTGCTGTAATAGAACCCGCGACACGTTGTACAGCAGCCAGTTGCCCAACTACTGCGCCAACCGTGCAGTCTTTAGAATTGTTAATCACTTACCATGTATGGTCTCATCGCCATAAATTTTTTTTGCTAACTCGTCAACCTACAGTCGGCTAACCCGTACTGTCGTATTATAAAATAACATGACGGACAAATTCTAACATCGCGAAAATATAAGTCGGTAGCTATCAACAACTAAGAGAAATAATCGCCTTCCACTGTTGTAATTAACTTTTACAAAAATATACTAAACTTGTGTCTTTTAGTGGAAATGGTTTCTCTAGCTATACTAACTCAACTTAAAAATCTTCACGGCATGTCAGTGTACGGAGTAACCTACTCACAACCCGTGTACCATTAGGGGCTTGGCTAGGGACATGCCTTAAATAAATTATCGGTTTACATGTCCAAAATTAGATTGAAATTATGGTTACAATATATATTCATATGGAAGAACTACCTAATAATTTTAGTCTTCCTTGCCTCATCGCACTAAAAATAGACAACATTTGGTGGCAGTTACAAATTATATTTATAATAATGTTTTATTATTTTGGCATATTCGTTACGTACCAGGATAAATAATGTTACACAGAAGTTGATAGGTACTTTTATATTAAAGTCAATTATGAAAACTTATGAAGCGGGTGCAACCGCCATTAAGATGACCTTAGAGCATAAAATAGATACATTGCGTATGTATCATCATCATCATCATCATCAGCCTATAAGTTCCCACTGCTGAGCAAAGGCCTCTTCTCATACGGAGAAGGTAAGAGCATTAATCACCACGCTTCCTCAATGCGCGTTGGCGATTTCAAACTTATAATTAGAAAATAAGTCCACGTTTCCTCACGATGTTTACCTTCACCGTATGTCAGTGGTGTCTAAATAATCATAGAAAGTACATAACACTCGGAAGAAGTCACATTGGTACTTGCCAGGTTTCGTACCCACACCCTCATGCACAGAAGCGGGCTCCTTAACCTCCGGGCCACTACGACATTGCGTAAGTATGTATATAAATGATTAAAATGTGTCCCTAAAGGTTTTCAGCAATGTACTTTAAAAACAATGTCTTGCATCCATTTTAGTGTAAATAAATTTTTTATTACCTACTGTTTTTATTATGAAATTTAATAAATATTATTTGTGCACTTTCCTATTACCTTATACGAATGTGACACATAGGGAAATTGAATTATTGACGCTCATGGAAAAATATGATATTCAAAATACCATTTGCGCTTTTATAGCCATTGTGAGTAGACTACTTACGTAAGGAAAATGTAACAATTATTAAATCAGTCGTCAAAAGTGTTTTGAAAATTGCAAGTGTGATTGATATCTTAAGAGGCCAAAAGCATTTTGAAAGGTGTAAGATGGCGTGTGATTATAACAAGACCAATGTTAGAATGGTGTATACGTCAAGTGAAGAATTAGCATCAGTTGAACTGTACAAGTGTTATCCTGATACACTTCTGACCATTACCTTTGCGTGCCATGTGGTCTTCATGCTCATTGGCATTCCTGGAAATCTCACCACCATCATAGCGCTCGCTTTTTGCAGAAAGGTAACTTCCAGTTTTCTTACTTAGTATTAATAGATTGGTTTTTATTACAAACAAGCCTCTAGGCTCGACCGGAGTGATACTACGGCCTCACAGAAAACCGGCGTGAAACTGTGAAACAACCACAGCGTTGTGTGTCGCCGTGTGAGTGAGGTTACCGGAGGCCCAATCCTTACCCTCCCCAAAGCCCTTCCCAATCCCTAAATCTCTCAAATCCCTAACCCCCAAAAGGTCGGCAACGCACTCGTAACTCCTCTGTTGTTGCGGGTGAGTGGCGCTGATTGCTTATCATTAGGTAATCCGTCTGCTCGTTTGCCGACCTATCACATAAGAAAAAGGAATGTATTCCGAGTGGTATTATTACTCTCTGCAGCCTAAAGCCTGATTTGCGAAGACGCAGCGCATTGCCCTACATCGATGCGTCTCCAAAAAGACCTGCACAGGCAAGATATGAGCATTATCACAATACCTACTTGCTCATAGCAAATTGACGATTCCAAACTTATTATTAATAGGAATTTGAAGTCCATGTTTTTGTTCGCCATATGTCAGGACTCTTAAAAAGTGTTAAAATTCAACACAGAAGAAGACACAGCGGTATTTGCAGCACTTGCATGCATCGAGCTAGATGCAACGGCTAGCTCAAACGAAGGCCGGGTTTGTTTTAATCGTTACTGAGGCTCTCTTTGAGGAGTTCCTAGAGAGACGCCACTACATCCTCACCTTTTGCCAGGCGCAGGATCTTACCGGATACGGAAATTTCGAGAGGTGTCTGTTTCGAATTCCATAGACAGAAACGCCCGACTGACGTTACTGTGAGAATTACCTTGACGACACGGTGGGGGACACGTTGACATGCATGTGCTGATCACAGCTGGGTTCCCAAGGAAGTCATCGTTGACGATGCCCTTCGCATCCTGCTCTGGTTCAAGTCATGGTGCAAGTGAGATAACTGAGAAGCTATCTGGTCTTTCTGCGAAGCCATCATACTAAGTAGGAAATGAAGTGCGTGAGGAAACGATCTTTCTCCGCTTCTGTCTTACTCAACACAAATTCTTATCTACGTAGTTGTAATACAATACTATAATAATAACTATACATTTATGATTTCAGGTCCGGAACGCAACAGCGATATTTATAATAAATCTCCACATAAGTGATCTGATATTTGGTAGCATGATCCTGCCGATGACAGCTGTTACATTCTGGAAAAAGCAATGGACCCACGGGTGGATCATGTGTCGTGTTTACGCCTACTGCAAGTTAATACTAATTGCTGCCTCCATCTTCACAATCCTGGCTATTACTATTAACAGATATATCATAGTTTGTCACCCACTCTCGTACCGTAGGTATGTAATACACATTTTTTTATGGTATAAGTCGGCAAACGATCTGACGGATTACCTGGTGGTAAGCAATCGGCGCCGCCCATAGACACCCGCAACACCAAAGGGGAGTTACGAGTACGTTGCCGGCCTTTTGGGGATTAGAATCGGGAAGGGATAGGGGAAGGGGATTGGGCCTCCGATAACCTCACTCACACGGCGAAACAAAACGCTGTGGTTATTTCACGCCGGTATCCTGTAAGGCCGTGGTATCACTCCGGTCGAGCCGACCCATTCGTGCCGAAGCTTGGCTCTCCAACACTTATGGTAATATAGTAATCAGTAAATTAATTTCTTTACAAATTATCTCATCGTTTCAGAATTTATAAAAGAAGAAATATCACAAAAATATTAATTCTAATCTGGATACTGTCCTCAACACTTTTTTTGCCATCTTTCTTCGGAGTATGGGGTCGATTTGATTTGGAACCTAATTTAGGATTCTGCACCACGCTTGATGACGAAAATGGAAAATCTCCAAAGAAATTTTTCGCAAGCATCGCCTTCGTGGCACCTACCCTGATTATAGCTATGTGCTATGCAAGAATTTTGTGGGTCGTAAGGAAAACTAAAATGATATTACAAGGACAAAATCCTAAATTGATAGGCCCAAGTCATTTACCTTTAACACGCACTCAATCCGATACTTCAACAGATGGGAGGACGCTCATAAGCATTGATCCCGCAAGTCTTACAAACAGTAGAACTAGCGATGAACTGACACCACCTAGCAGTGCCACTGCTACACCACGTGGTCACAAAACTTTTGATAATTATTTCAAGGCTACGTTAAGACTGACTAGAAAAGAGAAAAGACCAAAATCACCTACAAGCAGAGACAAACGACTGTTTGCGATGATTGTTGCAATAATAGTATCTTACACTTTAACCCATTTGCCATTGATGGTGACAAGATTATTATACAAAGAATACAATTCTGATCCTTACGCCAACGAGTTAGCACATCTATTTGGATGTCTGAGGACTTGTATGAACCCTATCATATATGTTTTAATTTCGAATGAGTACCGATACGCTTACAGAAGTCTCTTAGAGAACATCATGAAGAAGTGCCGTAAGCAATAATATTTAATTTCCATATATCGCCGCTTAAGGAAAGAGTAGGTAGCTATTACTTTAACCTGCTGAAAACAATGACTCCTGCAAACGTCATCATCGTGTTTACAAGGAAAGGACGTTAACGTCACTAAAGGTTCAGGTTCTTGTAGATAAATACTTTTTAGACGTGAGAAGAATAAGATAGCTGAACGCGGGAAAAGAGATTTACCTAAAAGGAAAAGAAATATTAACATCCGTCATTCAAAGCAGAGAAATACTAAGTAAATGTTAATTTATAGAATCAGGCGTTACTTTACGGAAATCCATGACATTAAATGTTAGGGAAAATATTTAGTTTTAATTCCGCGACAAAAATCCAGGCTTGTTGCAGGATGCAATCCCACTCCTATGCAATCATGCATATGCACATGCAGCAAGGGTCCCACCCTCCCGCCCACATGCATATGCACACATACACAAAACGGAAAAACATGCCACGCAATCAAACCTATACTCGACACGTGTTTCGCCCCTCTCGGAGGGGCGAAACACGTGTTGGGACCCTTGCTGCATGTGCATATGCATGATTGCATAGGAGTGGGATTGCATCCTGCAACAAGCCTGGATTTTTGTCGCGGAATTAAAACTAAATATTTTCCCTAACATTTAATAAGTAAATGTTACCAAATCACAAGCAAAGCTTGGTTTAAAATTAATTTATAAGACCAACGACAATATCTACATGAAATAAATAAATAAATTCATTTATAATTTACATGATTATTTTGTTTTCTTCTTGGTATAAGGCCTTTTCTTTCAAACGGTATTCTTTAAAGTCGAAATATGAATAAAATAAAATGTACCAAGCAGTTTCATTGTGTTTTCAGTGCCTACTGAGACAATAATTACTGCAGAGCAAAAGTTAACTAATGTAATATAACTAAGGGGGTAATCTTGAAACCGCTGGATTGCCAAAATACTTTCACTGATAGATAGCTACAATGTTCCTGAGTGTTATAGGCTATAAAACATAACGCTTCGATCAAATGAAGCTGAGCAGCGGGTGAAACCGCGCAAGACTAGCTAATAGTACATAATAGAAAACGTGAAAGGCTTACTACCTTTAAATATTTAAAAGGGGTTGCGACTTCAAGAACGAGGTTTAATGTCCGTTAAAACTAGAAAGGGAAGTATTCTCCAATTAAATTATGACTGGCTAAGCTCATAGTGTTTATTTATTTAATGAACATAAAAAATGTAACCTACTTATTTCCTATAAAGTAATAAAATCAAAAATTGTGCGCAAAAAGTGTGTATAAATATTTTTAACCGACTTCAAAAAAAGGAGGAGGTTCTCAATTCGATTGTATTTTTTATTTTTTTTTTTTTATTTTTTTTTTATGTTTGTTACCTCAGAACTCCGTCGTTTATGGACGGATTTGCAAAATTTTTTTTATGATTGAAAGGATATGCTTCCAGATTGGTCCCATTCTTTTCAAAATCAAGTTTTGATGATGGGATCCATGAGAAATCGAGGGAACTCCTCAAATATTATAGGCAACTATATAGTAATTTTAATATTTTCATAGAGCACTCAAGCATTTACAGTCAAAAAGTAATGTTTGATGAGGTGGAACTGGTGAAGAAGATCAGAAATGGATGATGAAACTTGACACTCGCATAGATATCACAATCAAGGTAGTTCAGCAACTATGAAAATGCACTGTAAACCAATGATCTTAAATAATTATGTTGGAAATGTTATCATCGAACTGATTTAATGATGATTATGGAGCTGGAAGGTAAGCACTGGAACTGCGTACCTAATTAATATATCCTAGCCGTGTTTGGGCTTGTTAGAATTGTTATAAGATGCACTTTGGCTGTAAGGTACTATTGAACTGATGTGATGATGAAGCTGGAAGGTTGGCATGGGGCCTAGTATTGTGTAAGCTTATTAGAGCTGTTGTAGCGGCACTATCACGTCGCTACATTACTTAGATACGATAGAGATAAGACATACATGTTAATTGTTGCACGTTTGTTAGGATAGCTAAATCTGAAAATCTCACGCATCTTCTTAGTATATAAGCACCAGCAATTAAAGTAATAAACAGACCTTAACCATCTACAGTCTCATTATTTACCTTGCCACGAAGTCTGGCAAATTGGTGACCCGACGAAGAACAATCAACATGACTCATTCACCCTGCAAATCAAGCAGCAGCCAACAAGAAGCCTTGGAGATATCAGCCGGAACCGCCATTTTATCCCGTATTCCGGAATTTTGGAGGGACCAACCCAGATTATGGTTTAAGCAACTAGAAGCCATAGTAGCACCACAGAAGCAAGGAGACGATTACAAGTACTATACGGTCATTGCAAAACTGTCAAAAGAAGAAATAATACAGGTTAGTGACCTCATTACTTGCCCACCGCCAATAGAAAAGTACAAGGCTATCAAAGAACGCCTAATCAGTTGCTATGAGGAATCAGACCAACGTCAGCTCCAAAAATTATTGTCTGAAATGGATCTCGGCGACCAGAAACCATCACATCTTCTGCGCAAGATGCGGACCCTGAGTAACGGAAATATCAGCGACGAAACCATCAAACTTCTATGGTTGAGGCTTCTGCCACCATCAGTGACTTCGGTTCTAGCAGTCACAGAAGACATAGATGTGAACAAGATGAGCCAGATCGCGGACAAGATATTAATAAATTCAACACGTACAGAGGTGTCAGCTGTAAACGGAAACAAATCTGGCGACGATACAATGTCATGCATACTACACACATATACACATACACAGTTAGCAGAAATGCAATTGGAACTAAATGCAATTCAGCAAGGTCAAAAAAACTATCGACGCAGCACTCAAAGTTATTCCAATCGTCGGCATTTCCTACCACAGTCGAGTTCAAGAGAAAGAAGGCACTTTTGTTTTTACCATGGAAGATTTAAAAAATATGCACAAAAGTGTGTTCAACCTTGTGATTGGAAACAGGATCTCAACTCAAGGAAACAGGGAAACTAATTGAAGCACGGACAACGGCGGAACTCTGTGCTATTCACCCGTCCAACCGCCTCACTATTACCGACCGAAAAAGTGGTATGAGATTTTTGATTGACACGGGAGCAAATATTTCAGTTATTAGCAAGCCACAGAGACATTCACTAATACAAGATGAACAATGTATACTTTATGCCGCCAATGGTACAAAAATTAAGACATATGGTGAAAAAACACTCTCTTTAAACTTCGGGCTACGAAGAAACTTTGTATGGAACTTTGTCATCGCCGATGTAACACAACCGATTATTGGAGCAGATTTTTTAGAGCATTATAAGCTATTAGTCGATATAGCTGGTCGAAAACTCATAGATAGGGTAACTGAGCTGACAACGCCCGCAACCCTGATCAAATCGACGCAGCAAACAATCCGCACTATTAACATTGAGACGAATCCACGCATTACTCAACTATTAAATGAATACGAGGATATTACGAAACCAGCCTCCTTCCACACTACTCCAAAACACAAGATTAAGCATCATATTATCACTAAAGGACCACCGGTATCAGCACGTGCAAGACCATTACCTCCTGATAAATATCATATAGCAAAGAAAGAATTTCAGACTATGATGGAGCTTGGCATTTGTCGCCCTTCGGACAGCCCATGGGCTAGTCCTTTGCACATGGTTAAGAAAAAGAACGGTGAATGGAGACCATGTGGAGATTATAGAATGCTCAATAGCGTGACTGTACCGGACAAATATCCACTTCCACGACTAACTGATTTCACTTACATACTAGAAGGGAAGCAAATCTTTTCCAAAATTGATATTCGAAAGGCGTACCACTGCATTCCTGTAGAAAATGTGGAAAAAACTGCTATTATCACTCCTTTTGGACTTTTCGAATTTCCAAAAATGCCTTTCGGTTTACGTAATGCGGCGCAAACATTCCAACGATTCATGGACTCGCTATTCAGGGATTTGGATTTCGTATTCATATTCGTCGACGATTGTCTTATAGCATCTGAAAACGAGGCTCTACATTATCAACATTTGGATACGGTTTTCAAACGTTTACATGAAAATGGATTAACAATTAATCTCGAAAAATGTGACTTTCTTAAGAGTGAAATAGATTTTCTGGGTTATCATACAACACGTCGAGGAATACGACCAACGGAGGAAAAGTACAAAGCAATTATGGAATTTCCTAAACCTACGACAATCAAGGAGCTAAGAAGATTTTTAGGAATGATCAACTTTTACAGAAACAATCTCCCTCATGCCGCTGAATATCAAACTATCTTAAACAACTACCTGCACGACTCTAAAAAGAATGATAATTCTCCAATTTCTTGGACAACAGAGGCCGAAAAAGCTTTTGATAAATGCAAGGAAAATATAATGAACGCAGTATTAACAGTTCACCCCTCTCGCACCGCCCCTTTGGCACTTATGACGGACGCCAGTTCGACCTGTGTTGGCGCAGTTCTGCAGCAGAAGTCAGGACGTAATTGGGAACCATTAGGATTCTTTTCAAAGAAATTAAGTGATACTCAACAAAAATACTCGACATTCGACAGAGAGTTGCTCGGAATATATATGGCAGTCAAACATTTTCAAAGGTTAGTCGAAGGAAGAGAATTTACTATCTTTACAGATCATCGACCTTTGACTTACGCATTTTCCCAAAAACCGTCATCTAATGATACGCCACGGCGAATACGACAACTGGATTTTATTTCACAATATTGTACCAACATTCAACATATAGAAGGACGTGACAATATTGTAGCAGACGCATTGTCACGGATAGAACAAATTGATGTGCCATCACCGATTAATTATGCTGATTTAGCAAGATGTCAGCATGATGACCAAGAATTATTACGACTTCGTAATAACAAGAATTTAAAATTTTCAAATATCAAGGTTCCGGGTTCTACTGAAGTCATCGCCGGTGACATATCTACAGGAAAAAATCGCCCCTATTTACCAGAAAAATTTCGGAGACAAATTTTTAATGTCATGCATGGACTGAGTCATCCTGGGAAGAGAGCTACTAGGAAAATGATAACTCAAAGATATTTATGGACAAGTATGAATAAAGATATAAATGAATGGTGTAAATCGTGCCTAGCTTGTCAAAAATCAAAAGTGCAACGCCACACTATATCACCTGTCGGGAACTTTATGCCATCTCAACGTTTTGAACATCTACACATCGATATTGTTGGACCGTTACCTGTTTCTCAAGGAAAGCGATATTTAATTACAATGATAGATCGTTGTACTTCTTGGCCGGAAGTATTTCCCGTTAAAGATATCACAGCCGAAACAGTAGCGCGCATACTGTATGAGGGATGGATAGCAAGATTCGGATGCCCATTACGCATTACTACGGATCAAGGTCGACAATTTGAATCAAGAATATTTGAATCACTTTCACAATTTTTAGGAGTACACAAAATTAGAACAACGCCTTATCACCCACAATCAAATGGAATGATAGAGAGATTTCATAGAACTTTAAAAGCGGCGCTAATATCAAGAGAATCTAATGCTAATTGGATGAACGAAATTGCTTCAGTTCTACTTGGATTACGAAGTTGTGTACGCGAGGACACAGGATATAGTGCAGCAGAGATGATATATGGCGCACCTATAAGGCTTCCCGGAGAATTTTTTGAATCGTCACAGCCTTCGACATACGAAGAATTTGTCACAAATATACAAAAGGACATTTCTCGTATGACATCAACATCAAAACGCAAGAAAATTAAACAAACAGTTTTCATTCACCCCGAGCTCAACAAATGCTCACATGTATTCGTGCGCTGTGACAGAATAAGGAAAAGTTTAACACCACCATACGAAGGACCATTTCTAGTGACAAAGAGGATAGATAAGACGTTTATCATTAAAATTGGGGACAATGAAAAAGCAATATCTATAGACCGATTAAAACCTGCATTTGTCTTCAATAGTGGAACGAACGTGCCAAATTCAGGAAATAATCACAACGGGCGGAACACGTACATCACGAAGTCAGGACGGGCGGTTAAGCCGACAGTACGATTCGTCACTTGCTGACACAAGTAATCAGTCCATTTAAATACTCACCGTATTTTGAAAATACCATCATATACCGTCAGTATCTACGAGAGAACAATGGGCAACCAAAGCTCCAAAGATCAAATCGTATATAACTCCGACAGTTGCCTTAATCAAAATGAAGCCGACCATCTCAAAAGTCTTGTCCTGGAAGAGCTACGGTGGACGAGAAACATTGCAATTGGACAAATCCTCATCACAATTGGCATCCTTCTTCTCTACGGAATACTGAAGACCTTAGACAGAAGAGTGAAAACAATAGCAAGAAACAATCAGCACAAATGCAGTGGATAGTTCATCGACTGCCGCCGCCGTCACAACAAAGGCAGCAGTTTTTATTTCCTTCGAATTAGCAACAATGACATTACATTACGCATAGGATGTAATTTATCAGCAAGGTTAAGTTATTATATAATTAGGTACATACTAATTTTTTTCAATTTATATGTTAATTATTTTTAAAAGGGGGGAGTATATGTAGCGGCACTATCACGTCGCTACATTACTTAGATACGATAGAGATAAGACATACATGTTAATTGTTGCACGTTTGTTAGGATAGCTAAATCTGAAAATCTCACGCATCTTCTTAGTATGTAAGCACCAGCAATTAAAGTAATAAACAGACCTTAACCATCTACAGTCTCATTATTTACCTTGCCACGAAGTCTGGCAAACTGTCAAGAGCAATGGAAAGGGCTATGCTCATAGTTTCCGTGCATGTTCGAATCAGAAATGAAGAAATCCGCAGAAGAACCAGCGTCACCGACATAGCCCGAAGAAATGCCAAACTTAAGTGACAGTGGGCACGGCACATTGCTCGTAGAACAGATGGCCGATGGGGCCGAAAGGTTCTAGAGCGGGACCGCACACCTTTGGGGGCGGAGTTTGGCCTAGTATTGGCTATTTTGCATTAGTCCACGTGGACTGCGTTTACACATTAGTGGTGAAATGCGTCATTGTGTTCTTATCGTTTTCCTGGTAATAGGCTAAGAGAATTAATTGGCATTTTTAACAAAACAGTCGTTTTAAATTGGTTACAAAACAATAATTGCGTCGTACAAAACAATAATTGTGTTTCTTTTGTGTGCACATATGTAGATAATACTTACTTAAAAAAGGTTCATACATTGAATGAGTCATAAATGTATATTTACAATAGCGATGGTCTTTTATATTTTTACCAACTTGTCTATATATGAATGTTCTTAGTAATAACAAAATAGTATTCTTCATTTAATGGGTTACAATTGATACAAAACAATAATTGCATCGGTCTTTTTTCTATGTACGAATGTATTTAATCATAGATACTAAATTAGATTGCATTTGGTATCTTTGAACTTTATCTGTCTGTTGATGAAAATATCTAGTTTTTTGTTATTTGGCGAGAACTAATATGAATTTATGATAAGATTATTATTTTATTTTAACTATAAGTCATAAGTATCTCATGCATCATATCATCTCTCCTCGAGATCAAAACGATTACACAGTAACAATGTACTATGATATGTATTTCTACGTATAAGTATGACATTGGTAACTTTTTCAAAAGAAATGTAGGAACGATATTGACTTCTTTGCCATAACACATTATAATAAAAAAAAAAACACTAAACGGCTACAAATAAAAAAAAAATTTACAAAATAAAAAAACCGCCTTCAAAAAAAGTCACGCAATAAAAGTTCCTACACTAAAAAGTAAAAAATAACAATTTGAATTACTGTAAAAAAACTTAATTTATAGGTAAACTTATTTGACATTAATATTTTGCAAATATTCAAAATTTATTACTTATTTTTGGAGTCGGTGCCAGCCCATGCAAGGACATACAAATGGGCAACAATCCCTTGAAAAACTACCTCTTACTTAATTATAAAACTACTTAATACCTATTTGCATACTCAAATATAGGTATATTAATTAAGACATAAATACAGATTAGACTTCTCTACAAAAAATGTCCGATTTGCACATTTTTTTAAATAAAAAATATGTACTTACAAAAACATTTTAAGTACATTGAAAATGTTTAAGCATTATGTACGAAAAATGGCACCGGATATTAAAAACCTAACTAACATTAAGTTTCAACATCAAAATGCTGGCACCGACTCCAAAAATAAGTAATAAATTTTGAATATCTGCAAAATATTAATGTCAAATAAGTTTACCTATAAATTAAGTTTTTTTACAGTAATTCAAATTGTTATTTTTTACTTTTTAGTGTAGGAACTTTTATTGCTAGACTTTTTTTGAAGGCGGTTTTTTTATTTTGTAAAATTTTTTTTTGTTACTAGAATCACAAACCACGCATTGATATTAAAAAAAAATAATAATCATATTCCACAGGCGTGGAGCACATAACAATAAAATTACGTACAAATAATTTCGGTTTTTAGTGGTATGTCATAGGAATGTGGTAATGCCAAAAAAATAATGTGTTTCGTAACTAATTTGTCGATAAGGGACAAGGCGTCAGTTACAAATTTATGATTGTTCTCCCTTTTTGTACTTTTACTACTTTTTTGTACTTGCTGGTGACAATTTGACAAAACAATAGAACAACGCACTCACTTCCTATTCCTGAGCCAACGGCGCGTAACGTACCGCGCGCGCCTCAAAGATGGCGCTTTAGACCACCACAGACGGGGCCCTATAGGGCCGACATTCAGCCGGGGTTGCGGGGCAATAGCCTAAATAGGCATCAGTAAGAGTCCGATACTCACTCTCGCCTCAGCCGGGAAGAAAAATCATTTGATGATTTTCCCTCACTAAAAACCCACTTCCTGTTAACTCCAATCAAAAAGTTTGGTCTACTGGAAATGACAGGACAATCACAATTTCTCAGATGTCGCTTACCACTTATGCAAGAGGAGGCAGGCTCAAACATGATAAGTATCAATGTGCCTACCAAAAAAAAAAACAATAACCAATAATTTAAAACATATTTCTTCTAAAAAAAAACGAATGATTACAACAACAAAAATGTTTAGCGTTTTACTTTCGTCGATATACATTGAATATGTACTCATAAGTATAAAAAAGTGACAACAAAGGTTCTACATTTTAAGAGAAAAACATTGATTTATTATGATTCTATAATACATCAATTTATATAATATAGGTAGTCGATAAAGTAACTAACCAGTTTGGAAAGCGGTAAGTACCGTAAATTATTACCCAAAATATTATTATTAGGTATTGACTTAGTTGCTCAGTTTTGAGAATATTGACCTTACAACCGCAGCACGGTTTTTGGTTTTTACTGTTGCATGTGTCACCAATTCCGTATAAAAGTTCCTGAGACATCATAACACGATACTGTTCAGCTCCAAGCCTTTACAATGAAAGCCGTGAGTGTTTATTTCTTGAAATAAATTTAATTTAATTTGTTGTAATATGTTTTATGTTTAAAAAATATAATGTCTGTCAAGTGTTGGACAGTCCTGCTTCGGCACAAATGGGACGGCTCGACCGGAGTGATACCACGGCATCACAGAAAACCGGTGTAAAGCAATACTTACGTTATGTTTCGCCGTGTCAGTGAGGTTACCAGAGGCCCAAACCTTTCCCTCTACCCTCTCCTCAATCTTCAAAATCCCTATCCTTAAATTCCTAATACCCACAAGAGGTCGGCATCGCACTTCTGGCAACTCCTTTGGTATTACGAGGATCCATGGGCGTCGCTGATTGCTCACCAACATGTAATCCGTCTGCCTGTTTGCCAACCTTTGGCATAAAAAAACAATATAAATAAAAAATACAATTTTAATCATCACTTTAATTTGAGAATAATTAATATAAAAACGCAACAATGGATCTGAAAAATGAATAATATTAAATTTAAAATTTATTTAAATTTCAGTTTGCATTCTTCGCTCTGTTGGTGTGCGCCATCTTGGCTTTGACGTCAGTGCAGGGTGCGCCGGCGCCTGACCTCGACACTGCAGAAAGCCGTCACCATGGTTATGGCCACAAATCCCATGGTGACCACGGAGGATACGGCCACGGCTATGGCCACGGTTACGGCCACGGCGGCTACCACCACCACCGGGGATGAATAAAACCAAATTCTTTACATTAGTGTATATTAATTTAAAGTAAGGCTTAATATAAGATTTGTTTAATAGTTAAAATAAATAAATTTTAACTCAATTTTGTTGTTTTATTACAATCTAGTGGCGTGCTTTAAATTATCGATCCAATCTTCCTTTCCTTTTTATGATTTATGATTCTCGAATAATAGTAAAATAATTGTGTTTACGTATTCACAGATTGGTGTAATCATAGGATCGTAGATCGTGAGACATCGTGGGATTTATTTAAAACAAATATTTGAAATTAAAATACCTATTAGAAATACATCAAAGTTAGCTTTTTCCAACCTAACAATAAATCGTGTAATAATTAGTAGTATATATCACATACCTAAAAGAAGTACCTACTCTCACTCGGAAATTATATGATGTTTAAAATAGTAACGAAGTAGTGGTTTTGCTCTTTCGTCTCATACTGCTCTTCAAACAAACACTGTCTGCTAAGTGCGTTGAATCACAAAGCATACAACACCATGCGTGTATATTTTTTTAACATGGCAAAGTATCATTGCCTTAGTACTCACATATTCCTTACACATGCCCAGTATTACTGTAGCGCAAACGTAGCATTTTCGTAGTTGCGTAGCTTTCTCGTAGCGCTAGCGAAGAGTTTGTCGTAGTTGCGTAGCGTGCAAATGCACCAGGTACCCTGATCGAATTAACAAGTCGCTGTAATACTCAAATAATGACTCTCCTGAAAACAAGAAAACAGGATGCTTCATGTATTCCCAAAGACTTAAAAGTGTACCCATATTGTATGATGTATATAATAAGCGTGACTTGTAAAATAACTGGTGAACAGATTTTTAACTTCAACATTTTTACATTATTCTGGTCGGCTCCACCAGAGTGACTCCATGGCCTCACAAAAGACCGGCGTGAAGTAACACATACGTTGTGTTTCGCCGTGTCAGTGAGGTTACCGGAGGCCCAATCCCTCCCCCCACCTATGCATACTCAATCCTCAAATACCCTTTCCTTAAATCCCTACTAACCTGCAAGATTAGTACGCACAGCAACGCACACTTATCATGAGGTAATCCGTCTGCTCGTTTGAAGACCTATGCCATAAAACAACACAGTGGTGTAACTGTGTTATTTCTAAAAAACCCAATTTCCAAATAATACTTCTACTTACCTGGCTGTCGTAGTTGCGACCACTCGAACAGTAAAGCAGTGTTTTTCATTGTAGTCTAGAAATATACAAATAGCAGTTTCGAAGTGCTAAACGTAGGTAACCTTTATGTGCCTGCCTTTTATTATGTGGTGGTTGCGGTTTCTTAGTCATTTACACCTCATTTCTGACTTCAACGACGTGACTCGATATTTTAATTATCACTTTAGTTAAATGCTTGCCTTGCAAGAGTAAAGAGAGAAGTAGTTAATGAAACAATGAATATTTTTTTGCAAACGGCAAGTTTACACGACAAAAAAAAAATCTTAATAAACTTGGTACCCAAATCATGCATATTGCCAGGGTTGCGGGGCAAGCGTAATAAGGTACCGCGGCCTAGACACGAGAAGTCATTTGATTTTTTACCCCTTATTAGCTGGTTTTTAGTTTTTGTATTTGATTTTTAAAGACTCTAACGTCATTCATTGCCGAACATAGGCGTCCTCCGATAACATCCAGGTAGGCCGGTTGGAAGGTACCTGCATTCAGCCGCTGCCCGGGCCTTGAACCCCAGTCCATTTTCAAAAGTCGTTGGTGTTGAAATATGTATTCAGGTTCACCCTGATACCATTAAATAAACATCCATTAACTTTCACCAGTCGGTACTATGCTTACTGCCAAACTACTTAAGTACTTACTCAAAGAATAAACCACTTTTACTGAGGCCGTTTTAGCCACGGTCAGCGTCCAGTTCAAAAAGCAGCAATCTTTACATATATGTCATTTGACCTTATATTATTACCTTTTTAGGCGACAGCAATAAATTTGCTTTTGGTAAGCAATCAATATCCATATTGAAAATTAGGTAAACCAATATTTATTGTGCTCCAACATTATTGCCACGATTTCATTAGGCCGATTTGTAACAAATTTTGTTATAAAATCAAGGAATCTAACCATCGCGAAATAAATGGACGCATTTATAACGTAAAAAAATATCCGATCAATTATTATTATAATAAAGGTGGCTCATGGAACCCTGGCACAGCAACTGATGAAAATACCTAGTTATGTATGTTATATGCGCAAACAAGCAAACGGATTACCTGATGGTAAGCAATCAGCGCCGCCCATGGACACTCGCAACGATGGAGGTGTTACGAGTGCGTTGCAGAACTTTTGGGGACTAGGGAGGGGAAGGATTGGGCCTCAAGTAACCTCACTCACACGGCGAAACACCACGCTGTAGTTGTTTCACGCCGGTTTTCTATGAGGCCATGGTAACATTCCGGTCGAGGAGACCAACTCGTACCAAAGCGTGGCTCTCCCACACTTAAAATGTTTTAAATAATTATACTATATAAGATTTTAAATTTTTATATTTCATCATTCAAATCTCTATGTACCCTTGTCATTCAAACGTAGTCAATGACGTTGTTCACCGTTATGACGAACTACTAAGCCCAACTTTTTATTGCCACAATAAAAATATACATCGCTATCAAAGTACCGTTAGAAATGCTGTCTAGATTTATATAATAAGACCGAATGGTGATTTATCCCAATCATATTAATTTGTTTAAAGATGATGGAGGTAACACCGGTATTTTAAAAATTGCTTTAAATGCCTCGCTCGGATCTTAGATCTAATGAATTTTCGGATGTAGTTTTTTTTAGTACTTTTACTAACAATCGAATTCTACTGAGCGATCTGTATCGGTTTACATAATACTACCATAACTTATGATATTATTGATTATAAGCTAAAATCTACATTTATGTATTCTACAAAGTTACGATAGTCTCGTTTCTCAGAACAATTTAAAGACATAATAAATGAACAACCTAAAACGTATATTTATAATAACTTAATAACTAACAGCCATTTTCATTGCTTTAAGTGTGACAATAAAAACAAAAAATAATTCATACACTAATAAATAAAAATAAATCCTACAATTTATTGTTTAGTATTTCCACAATAAGCTAAATCAGCATTATATTTCAAAGCAATAATTGCTTACCGCTTGCCAAGGAAGAACAGAACCTCATGTGTGGAGAAGTCCCATATGCTAACTATTTATTGGTATACCTACTACGAAATTTCACCTGTATCATGCATATCCATATGATATGACATAGCAACGTGTTTCAAATATAAAAAACTCCTCCGTGACTAGCCTATTACTTTAGCACAGATTATTTACCATTACAATTATTTTTTAAATTGTAAGTATTATATTACTACTTTTCATAGTAACAATAGCTGATGACTGAAGGTGAATCAAAACTTCTATTTCGGTTCATATTCTAGAAGAAAGTACATTATCAACTCTTCATTACTGGGCTAGTAGAACGCACATATTTTTCTTCATGTGCCTGGGCCAGTCTTTACACCGACCGTGTCAGCGTGTATTATAGCGTATAAGGGATGTACAAAAGAAAAAAATAACGAGCAGCAGGGACTGAATCCAACTGCAAAATAAATGTTAATACTTTATTCATTTTAGAACTTTTATTTTAAAATAATGCAAATACTAGCGGAAGCACAACTATTGTTCTTTACATGGAAAAGATTACTCATTTAATCCAATGTCGTCTTTTGTGTTAGTTCCCAAGGCTTTTGTCGTATTTTTTCTTAACAATTAATTATAAAACTAAGTCCTGTTACTTTATTTACATACAAACGGGACTTAGAAGTAGGACCTTTTAATTAATACATTATACATATTATACTAGTAGTAATTAAGGTTTCAAATATGAACACAATTATGTGTAGCAGAGCCATTCTTCGGCTCGAATGAGTCGGCTCCCTCACAAAAAACCGGCGTGAATCCACCACAGCTTGTATTTCGCCGTGTTAGTGACGCTAATCCTTCCCTTCCCCCAATCCTAAAATCTCCAGATCCCTAATCCCCAAAAGGTCGGCAACGCACTTGTAACTCCGTCCGTTGTTGCGGATGTCTATGGGCGGTGCTGATTTCTTACCATCGGATAACCCGTCTCGTTTGCCGACTTTACATTTAAGAAAGAGCAGTTGGTATAAGAAGTGCACAGCTGAACCTCCTCAAATGACTTTCAGGAGCGCTGGTTGTAATCGACCAGTATCCAGCTGTTTCGCACTCCCTTTATCAAGTCATCTGCTTTCCTCATTTTTGAGGGGGAAAATCATCAAGTGTCTTCACATGCACTGGGTAGAACGAGAGAGAGTGACAGACATTAACTGACTGAAAACCTCCCTGTTCCTTTTCCTACACTGGGCCAGGGCCGCGATGCATCGTTGCACTTGCGCTCTCAAATCCGACTAGACATCAGCTCTTGTAGGCCCCACCTACATAATGTTTACTCTGTGCGTAGAATAATAAAGTTCATAATTTAAAAACCACATTTTTAAATCCGATATTAGTAATAAAATACGATATTCATGAACGATTTCTCAGTATTTTGTAGGTTAAGTTAGGGCCGGTTATTCCGGATCAATACGGAATCATGTGAACATATTTTTATATACGTTCGAGCAAATAAACAAGGGTTTCAATTAGTAAAAAATAAAAGCCATGCCTTTTACTACAGTGACAAAAAATCATCATCACATCCAGATGTGAAGTGTGGGAGAGCCATGCTTCGGCACGAGTGGGTCGGCTCGACCGGAGTGATACCACGGCCTCACAGAAAACCGGCGTGAAACAACCACAGCGTCGTGTTTCGCCGTGTGAGTGAGGTTACCGGAGGCCCAATCTTTCCCCACCCCCCATCCCTCCTCAATCCTTAATTCTCCAAATTCCTAATCCCTAAAAGGTCGGCAACGCACTCGTAACTCCTCCGTTTAGGGTGTCCAAGGGCGGCGCT